ACAAGATTAAAAATAAATCTAGCCGCATTCCTCTAGTAGCCACTTTCAACCCCACTCCACTATCCCAAATAATCAAACGTCGCTGGGAAATACTACATATCAAACCAGACCTAAAAAAATTGTTTAAGGAACCCGGCCTTCTAGCATATCGTGGACCTAAGAACCTAAAAGAAATCATAGGTAGTAACCACATTTCAGGGGACAGGTAATCCGTAATGAACTAAGAACAAAAACAGCAGGATTTTCCCAAACATGTAACAACAAAAGAAGTTTATGTTGCAACCATATTAAAAACACGAATTCATTCACTAGCTCAATCACTAAATCTACTTTCAAAATCTACCACGATTCTAACTGTAGAAGTCAAAACATAATTTACCTCCTAGAATGCACACTATGCCAGAAACAATATGTAGGAAAATCTGAATGGCCCTTAAACAACAGAATTAATAATTATCGCAATCGAATTAAGTCGACTCCCCATGAAAAATTATTACCTGTAGAACAACATGTCCGCCAAGAAAAACACGATTTCAAACCCCATGCCAAATTCACTATAATTGAGAGAATAGAAAAGTTCAGAGCAGATAACATTAGAAAGATTTTAGAGTCCCATGAAAATAAGTAGATACAATATCTAAAAGCACACTATCCAGCAGGGCTAAACCATAAATTTAACAATATAATAACAATAATGATAGTACTAATATATAACACTACAGATCAAAACCAACCCACATTTCTCACCCACACAAGGCAGACATTCTTATGGAGGTGTTGAGGCCTCACACTTATACACACAACTACACGAACGTACACACTTACAGACATCATACTCACTCACTCCCTAATGAGCCAAATGATAACACACAGCCACAGCAATATACACGCTTACGCATATCATACTCACTCACTCCCTAAGAAACAAATAACACACACACACACACACACACACACACACACACACACACACACACACACACACACACACACACACACACACACATACACACACTTAACAGAGACACATCCCCACTACAGGACCAATAAAACTGTCAAACTGACCTGAGGAATTCAGAGCAGCATGGATCCACCCAGCTCCTATCTCAAATAACAACTTAAAAGAGACTGTTTGACCAACTCAAGGAATGTTAAAAGATTCATGTTAAAAATATAAAAAAATAAATAAAAAAAAACAAATGAAAACTACAGACAAATGTTCATTTTCTCCATCAAGACATTCATTTCTGTAGTTTACTGCTACCAGCAAGCAGAAATATTTCTCCTCCTGATGATGGCCATTTTTGCCGAAACTAGTCGAGGAATCTAAATGAAATAATAGTAAAAACAACGAAAAAATATTAATCTACAACCCAGTGGCTGAAGATTTTAATTTTTTAATATTTTTTATTCAATATATATATATATATATATATATATATATATGTGTGTGTGTGTGTGTGTGTGTATGTATGTATATATATATATATATATATATATATATATATATATATATATATATATATATATATAAATGAATATACTTATCCCCAAACCGTGTGCTCTACTGGAGTTTCATGTTTCAGGTGCCGTGTGTATACTGAGCTTTATTTAATTTGAAAATATATCAGTTAATCGTAATGGTGGCGTAGTTAACCACTACTTATATAGTAGTATATATAAGTTTTTTTTCAAAAACTTAACAAAAAAAATTTTTAAGAAATTAATTATATTTTTCCTGACATTAAATCTAGCAAGTAAAACAGTCGGTGTTACCATATGAACACAAAATAAGGTAATTATTGATTTAACTTTTGAGTAGTGAGTTATCAAGTATAAATTATTAATAATGGAAGAGAGCTGATTTATTATCAAATATTAAAATTATTAGGGAGAAAATATATATATAATTATTTAAAAATCAGAAAATAAGTAAAAAGATAAAAATAAATGAAATAATAAAATAAAAATATATATAAATAAAATATATAATAAAAATCTGTATTAAAACCAACAAGTAATAACCCACAAACGTAATATATATTAAATCTAAATAGGCAAATAGCGAAATAAAAATAGCCTAGACTGAAAAATAAACCGCTATGATATAGAAAAATTAATTTGGGTCTACGTACTTAAGTAGATATTTATTTTTAGGCCTACATGTGACCATCAGTTCTTTACTCTTATAACAGTAAGTCCCGGTTATTTAAATGTTGTAAGATAATATTTTTTCATCTTAACACAGGATTCTTTTATCCCCCTTGCCATTAAACAACTTAGCGCTTGCCATTATAATCCATTTAACTGAAGGTGAATTACCGGAATGCTGTTTCTGTAATTGATATTAGTCAAAGTCATAAGGTGATGGTAGAAGTTTCCAAGTTTTCTCAGTATGAAGATTGCGTTTGGCATGAAACTCCGATTAGTGCAAAAGGTGGGGATATATATATATATATATATATATATATATATATATATATATATATATATATATATATATATATATATATATATGTATGTATGTGTGTGTGTATATATATATATATATATATATATATATATATATATATATTTCTTAATATTTTCAAGTTTTTTTTTCTTTTTGTAGGAGAAAGGAAATACAGAAATCTTTCATAATTTTCATTGTCCCAAGCGATTTCGGCCACTCTGTTTTCCATTACTCCATTACAAATTTGAAAAAACGTAAGAATGCTGGAATAACTAACTAAAAAATTAATTAATTCTTCCTTGTTGTACTTATTGAAAAATGTTTAAAAGGAAGGTTACTGCCGAAAATATACATTAATAAATATATATATGAGGTATATTTTCGGCAGTAATATATATATATATATATATATATATATATATATATATATATATATATAATGGATTAACGAATTTTGAAGGCGATTTCTGAATTGTTAAGCAGTTCAATTTGCTATCCCCACAGAGTAACATCTTAAAGACATGTATAGAATGAAAGTTACATGGCTTCTACATTACCATTCAGATTCGGGCGCAAGTAAGTGTCAACAGTAATGTAGGAATCTTCACTTTGTTTATATACAATCCTTTCCAGCCTGTAGATCATCTTTCCTTCATTTTGTCTTTGTTTTATTTTACTGGTATTTACAGCCAGTTTTTTTTTCTCATGTAATGAGTGTGGGTTGATCGGCCCGGCAGAATCATTAGTCGACAAACGGAAAAAAAAAGTGGAAAAATCCAGGAAGGAAGCTAAAGAAAAAAAAATCATCTTCAGCAAACAGTACTTGATTAACCCTAATTATTAGTTTACCCCAACTACGTCTGCACACGTTACTGCCCCCTTTTTTCCGCTTGTGCACTCATCGCATTCCATTGCGCCTGTCATGTTAATTAGCTAAGAAAGACATAGGTAATTAGTAGAAAAAAAAAGTCATTTCCAACTCATTCATCTGAAACCAACAAGACACCGTCTTTATGTCCTTAATAACTGGCTGGGCGAAAGAAAAAACAACACAAAAATACGGTACTTGGTGAAAGGCTGTTCAAAACTGAAAATGTTAACAAGCAAGAGGTCTTGGAGATAGACATGCGAAAATAACGTTTAAAATTTCCAGGAATTCTGCTACTTGCCTCAATGGACGATTACTCTTAAAGAAACCAAGCTGCGGAATCTTGCAAGACATGATTATAGAGAAAAAAGGAATTCTTAGACTTCTATTGTTTGACATCAATGTTCTCTTTCTATCAGCAAGTATTAGGCTTCACAATCATTATTCTTAAAATAAAAAATATATTTAAACTTTATATCTGAGTTCTTATATAAATGTTTGTTTATACTGACATTTCTCTGTCTCTCTTTATAAAACACTAAGGCTCGTATAAAACATTTCCCTGTCAAAACAACACAAAAGGAAAATACAAGTTACACTGTCAACACCAATATATATATATATATATATATATATATATATATATATATAGATAGATAGATAGATAGATAGATAAACCTAGTGAGGCAGACGAGCCTACCCAGGTTTCACCTAAGCTCCTCTGGGCAGGTTTGTCTCGCTCACTAGGTTTATCTAGGTCTGCTCTACGGTTGTATTTAGCTCTTTTGTTAGTTAGTTGTTTACTCGTGTCGGTTTTTTTTCTTTGGGCTTTAAACCTGTATCTGTGCAATTTTTTTCGACATACTTTCATGTTTCTAGGTCTTTCTTTTTAAAAACCATTTTTCCCTCGAGATTGATTTGATTATTGGCAAATCAAAAATTCGAAGATTTTTTCGAAACGAGTATAGTTATCTATCTATCTATCTATCTATATATATATATATATATATATATATATATATATATATATATATATATAGATAGATAGATAGATAGATAGATAGATATTATATATATAGATATGTATATATATAATACACACACAAATACACACACACACACACACACACACACATATATATATATATATATATATATATATATATATATATATATATATATATATATATATATATATATATATACCAGATACCAACTGGAAACGTTTTTATTTATAATGTGCATTTTTTAAATAAATATTATACATTATTTTCCATGTTTCGCTACACATGCTTCGGGTCATGCTACCTTCATCAGGCGAAGAATTGTTATTTCCACATATTATTTAAAGGAATTAAATTTTTCTTATTACTTCCGATGATTAACGATTATTCTTTCTGTGTAGTAGTAATCTAGATTTTCTTGTACTTTCGAGAAAATATTCTTCTGATTAAGTTGTAATAAAGCAATTAGAACTGGTCAGAGAAAGTGTCAAGGAAAGAGGATTTTCTTCTTATCTTTTTATGACCACTGTATCTTTTTATACCTATTTCCATTTTTTGTGTGTCTTTGCTAATATGTGCATAAACATTCTCTTTCTCCCCCCTATCTCTCTCTCTCTCTCTCTCTCTCTATATATATATATATATATATATATATATATATATATATATTGTTTTCTTATAAGATAGATAGATAGATAGATAGATAGATAGATAGATAGATAGATTTTACTGCTTTTAAAATACAATCTTCCATGAATCGACCTTGCTAAACGAGCGATCGTCTGTGGCTCAAACGGTTAAGGCACGCCCGGCTGTATGACTGTTTCGTGCAGGATACAGGTTCGATTCCTGTCAGAGGACGAATATTTTCTATGAAAAATTCTCGGAGGCTCAGGCCGGTAAATGTTATTAATACTGTTTATTAAATATTTGGATCTATAAAAAGAATGTATAAACATAAAAATAGCTTAAATTAATTGTGGTACTTTGTCCATTTCATTATATATATATATATATACTTTGTGTGGTCCGTCTAGTGTCTTTGATTTTGCCATTATGAATGTATATGTTCCTTCTCCATAGATATTTGTGTGTGTTGCGAATTATTTAAAATTTTATATGTAAGGTCAATAATGCTCTATTTTAGTGATAGATTATCCGTTGATGTAAACGTGTCTGATGATCTCATTCGTTTCGCAGATCACTGACTAATGTGACATTGAGTAAATGAATGCACTTCATCAGAAGAATGATATTAGATTGGCTCTACAAAACCACAATCGAAGAGCTTTATTACACAAACAATAACACTTGATGATTTCCAGCTACTGTAACAAATAAAATAGATAGCAGATATCTTCATCGGCACCCGCTCGCATTTGAGCATCTGGATCTTCCTGCTCTCCCCTTATCGCTCTCTCCTGATAACTTTGGCGAAGATGGCTGTGAAAGAAAGCGAAGTCAAACAGTGTCTGACAAGGCTATTCGAGGGAATTTGATTTCAGTGGATAACTCCGCGCGACAGAGAAGCCCACACACTTGGCTAGAAGAGACTCCCAAACACTTGACTAGAAGAGACTCCCACACACTTGGCCAGAAGAGACTCCCACACACTTGGCCAGAAGAGACTCCCACACACTTGGCTTGAAGAGACTCCCACACACTTGGCCAGAAGAGACTCCCACACACTTGGCTAGAAGAGACTCCCACACACTTGGTTAGAAGAGACTCCCACACACTTGGCCAGAAGAGACCCCGCACACTTGGCTAGAAGAGACTCCCACACACTTGGCTAGAAGAGACTCCCACACACTTGGCTAGAAGAGACTCCCACACACTTGGCTAGAAGAGACTCCCACACACTCGGCCAGAAGAGACCCCGCACACTTGGCTAGAAGAGTCCCCCACACACCTGGCCAGAAGAGTCCCCCACATACATTGCCAGAAGAGCCTCCCACATATTCGGCCAGAAGAGCCCCTCACACACTTTGTCAGAAGAGCCCACCTACATACACACACACTTGCCTCGAAGAGCCTTCCACGCGGTTAAAAGGGGACTGGGACAGTCGAGATCTGTTACCACAACCAATAAATAAGAAAAGGACAAAATAATAAAATTATCGGAAAATATTAAAAATGTTTGAATTATAAATGATAAAGAAATCAATCGTTTATACATTTCCGAATATAAAATTGTTTTCTTATTTATTTCTTTATAAATTGATAAGTGATAAATATTGTATTGTATTTGTTTTAATATACTTATATAAGTTTTTTGAATGTCTCATATATAACATTATTCTGTAAATAAACAATGAAATAAATAGTGTTTTATATTTTTGTTGTAAATACTCAAGAACAAAAATGTATGAGTTTAGTTTCATCATATGTTTAAGTTTTATTTCTATTCTAATCACCGCTTTTAAAATCAATAATACTGGTCAAGAAAATAAAATTGAAATGGTATCGAGACACCAAATATCTTTTTTCTTCTTTTTTTTTTTTGCTAATTTGAAGGCGCTGAATATGAAAATGACCACATTTTTCTTCGTTACCTACCGTTTTTGCTGTACAGAAATGCCTCATTTTTGAAAAAAAAACAAACTTTCATTCATTCTATGTATATATGATTTTGACCAATTGCAATATTTCTCATAATAAAATCGTAGAAACCTCTCAATTCTTATTAAAACCAACAACTATTGGTCTACTTATTGAGAAATACTCTTTTTACCATAATAATCAGACCCTAAAATATAACACGATTGAATATACCAAGACAAATAAGTATTTTCATCAAATTATTTAATTTAAGTAACAGCAGAAATAAAACCTTCGTGAACATAAGAATTATAGTAAAAAATTTTCTCATTGATTGTCTGTTATGTTCAATGTTATTTAAGTCCCTTTTAATACTTCAGCAGTATCATGTACAATGGAATAGGTGCATTCAATTGGAATGTCTTTAGTTGGAGTTTCTTTCCAACTGTAAAAACAAAATGCTCGTAGTTCAGGGATAAAGTTAAGGGATAAATTTAGGAATATCAAACAGAAAATTTTAGGGTTTCATTTCTTCCTTTTTTTTTCTTTTTTTTTATGTCACTTTTAATTATCCGGCATACTACAATGTATTACTAATAAAGTTTATCAGTTGATTTGAATTTTGGCGATAATTTTGAAAATTCTGGTACATCTATTTAAAAAAAAATAACACAAAACCTTTTTAACCATGAAAATCTAAAGTCAATTTCGGAATCAGCATTATCAAATTTGGTAAAAACTGTGTTTTGTTTCTTGGCAGCAAAAACTGTGTTGACCAGCGTAATGGTTGCCGTAGAGTGAAGGCAGTTCAGTAAAAAAGGAAATAGGTCCTTTTGACACACTTTGCACGAAGGATAATGATTGCTATCTAGGGCATTTAGATATAAAACGAAGACAGACCATATGAGATTTTGTTAAAAATGTTTATAATAATTTGAAATAAAACTTGTAATGCAGGTCGAAAAATGTGACTCTCATTGGAGTCCACTCTACTTGGAAAAGAGCTCGTGATAAGAAGAAAGAAATAATGTTTCTGCTTTTGGAATTCAAGAAATAAGGAGAAAATATTAAATGTTGCTAGATTTGTTCACGGAGATTTCAAAAATACAACACAAAACTTTAAAAAGAAAACAATTATTCTAATGTTTCATCAAGAATATTATCTGAACTAAACGTATTTGATTTTAACAATTCCTATGCCACGGGATAATCTTGTATATTTCGAAATTACACAAGACCAAGAGAATACTGAAAAATGTTTATAATGACAACGAAATGGTCACAGCGTGTTCCAGCAATGATCTCATCATTTTAATGAAAAAATATCTGTATTTTCAAATATACTGCAGTGATCTTGTAATCTAGAATAATAAGATATTTTGTTACAGAATAATTTAAAAATAATTATGCCAAATATTTTTGACAAATATATTTATAAATTCATGAACAATGACCAATGTTCGAATTTTGGCAGAGATTACAGTTAAAAAAGAATATATATATATATATATATATATATATATATATATATATATATATATATATATATATATATATATGTATGTATGTGTGTATATTTTTTAACTGGAATATATATATATATATATATATATATATATATATATATATATATATATATATATATAATCTCTGCCAAAATTCTGACATCGCTCATTATATTTAGTTTATATATATATATATATATATATAGATAGATAGATAGATAGATAGATAGATAGATTTATCAGAAATAAGTCGGAAGTTGGTATTTCTATATTATTGTATATGTGATGCGACAAAGTAATGTTGATGCATTCTTTTGCCGCGTTCCTCAGTGCAATAAGAACTCATTATTCAGGAGTAAAACAATTTTAATAACTTCATTTTTGCCGACCCATGTAATTATAAATGATTTGATCGGAAGAAAGGAAAATGTGGATATAAAAATAGCAAAAATAAACTTTATAGGAAAAGAAAAAGGAAACAATTAAAGAAATGGAAAAAGGAAGAGATTAAAATAAAGAAAGAATATAAAAAGGAAGAAGAGATAATTAAATTTGAGAAAAGAAATAAATAAAATCAAGTTGCAAGATGGAAAGCAAAACAAATAAAAAAGAAAACAAACATGAAAAAAAAGCTGAATTGTCGGAACGAATGTCAAGATAAATATTAAGAGGGTGAAAAGATGTAAAGAAGCAAATATATTAAGGAATTGTCAAAAATAGATTTGCTGCTTTATCAATGAGAGACATCTTGAGAGCTTCAAGATGTTTTTTAAGGTTTATGTCATGCTATATATGTGGTATCTTTCGTTGATCCTAGCCCTTGAGAAAGCTTTCGAGTGCTGCTGGTTGGGTTTCCCTAAACTTTAAATTTTAAAACATTCAAAACATACGTTCTTTTACTTATAGGCTTTACTTCGAGGGACAAAACACCACAATAAGAATATTTACATCAACCTTGTACGCAGAAATATGTTTGTTTCCTATGTACATTTCCAATTCTCGTCCTGTGTAAGACGTTAAACTATATCCGCGTTCTGGGTAAGAAGTTAAACTACATCCGCGTCTTGGGTAAGACGTCAAACTACATCGAGCAGCAAGGCCTCTGATCAGGAGATTTTGAGGAGTGTGGAACCACCTCTTAATTTCTGCTGTTCCCAGGTCCACCCTGACCCGGGGTGGTAGCACCTGTTAGGGTCCCAGGTATGAGCAAATAGTTATCAATTAACGGCAATAATTTTTTGAAAAAAATTGTTACCAGCAATAAAATTTGAAGGAAATATATTGCCAGAAACAGACAAAACAAAATATTAGTAGCAATAAAAATTTTGTCAGCATTAAATAACACATTGCTGTTGATATACCGTAAAACAAAATAAAACAAACCAATCTAAACCAAAGAATATATATTCTATTCATACAAATCTATCCTAAAGATGTTGTCGGCATTAAATAACCCATTGAGGTTGATATGCCGTAAAGCAAAATAAACCAAACCAATCTAAACCAAAGAATACATATTCTATTCATACGAATCTATCCTAAAAATGTTGTCGGCATTAAATAACCCATTGAGGCTAATATGCCGTAAAACGAAATAAATCAACCCAATCTAAACCAAAGAATACATATTCTATTCATACAAATCTATCCTAAAAATGTTGTCGGCATTAAATAACCCATTGAGGT